GCCCACCTCTGCCCCTTGGTCCTTCCGCCTGGGCTGGGGCAACGCGCCCCCGCCCCCATTTCCTCACCTTCCCGAGTGTCCTCGGAGCTCTGCGGAGAACGCGGCCGTTCCTTCCCGGGAGGAGGCTGCCGCTGCACTCCGCCTCGGGGGCGAGCCGGGCTCTCTCCCCCCGACTACTCCCAGCCTGGCAGCCCCTCGCAGGGCGCTTTGTTTTGCTGGGTCGGTGCTCGCTTGGCGTCCTTGCCACTGCCCCGTTTATTTGCGGTGTTATGTGGGGTGATGGGTTGGAGTTGGGATGTGATGGAGTTGAGATTCAGCGAAATAAAAATGACCTCCCCCCACGGAAATAGCACAGCTTTACCCAGCTGAGACGCCCTCAAAGCCTGGCCTTGGACGGAGATGGGAAACCCCACTTTGGTGTAGTGGATAGTGTTCAGGCCGGTGGATGAGTCATGTGCTTTTGCCGAGTGGCTGGCTGACTTCCCTTTTACGCAAGACCACGCACTGTTTTTTGAAGTGTTTTTATGTAGTTGTTTACTCATTTGATGTTTCATGCAACCTGGTGGGGTTTATATTCTTGGCCCTTGGGTTCATTTTTACCTGTGTGTTGGATGCAAGAGGGGATGACCTCTTGCAGTCCGTGCCTAATGAGACTTGAAGTGTCTTTGCTTACCTTTGAGAGGGCTGTAGATGTCCGAGTTTACAAAAACCCAGCCTCAGTGTACTTCTAAGACAGTGGCTCTTTGGTGCTATAATACAGTTGGAGATTTTCATGAATGAGGCTGTCAAGTTCCTTAAATTGTGAGCCCTTGGAATTTGTAGTCCTTAGAATTTGTAAAACAGGCGATACTCAACAGGATTTATGAATGTGCTTTCAGTTTCAAGGTTTTGGATGGCACAGTTTTATGACCTTGCCAGTAATTTAATAAAACATTCCTTTCGTTTTAATTTGGATGGAGATTGTCTTCCAGCAAGGCATGGTAGATAACCAACTCCTTCTCCCCAAAAGCTTCAACCTGGGGCAGGTAAAACTCTCAGATGGTTTCAGCTTACCAAATCGAGAAGGAAAAGTCTGGTCTGAAACAAAATGCATCCCCGTATTACCCACCATATCCCCTATCTTGGTAGGAAACAGTATCTAAGGACTGAAGCTGTGGAGTAAATGAGTCTTAGACTATGTCTCCAAAAGTTATCTTTTTGAGCCAGTTGTGATCTTTGTACTATTTTGCACTTCTGCTTTTGGTGGTGGTGGATATTTTCGTGTTACACAAATCAGATTATTGAATGCCTTCTCTTTTTTTCTATTTTTCGTATTTTTAAAAAAATTAAATTAATTTTAGAGAGAAGGAGAAAGAAACATCCATCAGTTGCTCCCTAATGCACCCGACTAGGAAGACTAGGAATCGAACCGGAAACCTGGGTATGTGCCCTTTGCTGGGAATCGAACCTGCCACCTTTGGGTGGACAGTATGTGGGGATTCCTTGCTGATGATGACAGTTAACTCATAAGGCATGAGTTTATGCTCTGGCTTCAACCAACAGCCACACTGGCCTCACTTTTTCTTAATTTAAAGCAAAAACCATTTGGTGCCTAAGTACCTTGAAGAACTGGGCTGTTAAATCTTCGAACAGCCCACTGTCATTGTCTGTCACAATTATGTGCATGTAAAATGTTTCAGTTTTTGATACTAAATAACTTGTGAAGTAGATTGTCTTTGTGTTGTCTTTATGTGGTAAAAGTATAAAAAGAAAGGCTTGTTATTGAAAATTGCTAACGTTACTGGACATTCTCATTTGCACAGTGAGGATTGTGGGGATTCCTTGCTGATGATGACATTTAACTCATAAGGCATGAGTTTATGCTCTGGCTGGTGTTCTCTGTGGTTAGAGTGTTGTCCCATGTCAATTCCTGGTCAGGACATGAGTGTGAGACAACCAGTGGATTTTGTCTTTTACATCAATGTTTCTCTCTGTCTCCCTCTCCCATTCTCTGGCTCTAGAACCAATAAAAAGGCATATCCTTGGGTGTGGATTTAAAAAAAGGCATGAGTCTAAAAATAAAATTTGTCCTAAATTATTTTCTTTTTACTGGACTGTAAAGTTCCATGAAGACAGGGTTTTGTTTGCTTCGCTTTGTCTATTTTTATTCTATATTGTATCCTTAATTCCTATAAGAGCACCTAAAATATTCTTTGAGTGAATAAACTGAAGAGATAATTGAGCAAGAATTTGGGATGTCCACAATACCAACTGCAAATAATTCCTTTTATGTTAATAAAATATTGTTAACAGGGGACATAATTGGTCAGTAGGACTTACAAGGAATGTGAATTTTAACTAAGATAACATTAAGATCTCTAAAAATTGCAGTAAACTTATTAGTAGTCCAGACAGTGTGGCATGCAGTATTTCTGTGCACTGTCTACTGTATATTTCCTACTTAGCAGTTTGAAATGTGGTGAGTGTTTTTAGGCTGTGGTTCAACTCTGACCTGAGAAAAGTGTCTTAAGAGAGTGATAAATCGTGCCTAATAATAAACAGGTATGGGTAGCATTTCTTAATGTGAATCTCATATTGTCAATAAAAACTTGATTAAAAAAAAGATTGAGTACTTCCTTTGTGAAATTCTCATTTCATGTGTATGTGATTGGCTAATCCATATAAACAATTAGTTCCTGAGCTCTTACTATGCACAAGGGAAGACAAAAGATATTTGCTCATGACTTGTTTGGTACATATATTCTTTATTAATGTATTCATCCCCAAAGTACTTATTGAATATAAACTATGTATTATTACAGCTTTACTTAGACATAATTTACACATGATGCAGTTCACCAATTTAAAATGTACAATTCAGCCCTGGCCAGTGGGGCATCGTTCCTTGTACCCTAAGGTCACAAGCAGGAGACAACCAATCAATGTGTCTCTCTGATTGATGACCCTCCCTCTCCCCCTTCCTCCCTCCCTCTCTCTCTCTTCCTCTCTAAAAATCAGCAATAATAAAAACATTTAAAGTGTACAATCCAGTGTTTGCCTATTCTGTATATTTCAGGAATTATATAACTTTTTGTGTCTAGCTGCTTTTACAGTACATGGTATAATGTTTTCAGGGTTTGTACTGTAGTATGAATTAGTACTTTGTTCCTTTTATAACTAAATGCTCTTCCATTATATGGATATGCTACATTTTATCCCTTCATCAGTTGATAGATATTTGGGTTTTGGCTATTATGAATAATGCTATCAGTGTTCATGTGCAAGTTTTTGTGTGGACATGTATTAATTTATCTTGGGTAGATGCCTAGGCGTGGAATTGCTGGGTCATAGTAACTAACTTTTTGAGCCTACACAGTAACTTTTTAACGGCATTGATTTTCTAGTGCTTTTACAGAGGGCTTAAAAGAAAAGCTTAATGGGATATGGTATGGCCACTTAAAAGAATGAGGAAATGAAAGTGCAAGGATGTCAGCATGTTGACATGTAGTACAGTCTGGGTAGTTTGATTAAATTATACTTTGTTTTTTAAATTATACGTTGTTGGAGAACAGTTTGAAATTCTAATAAGGCACAGAAAACAGTTAGAAAGATGTACCCCAAATGTGTACTACTGTTGTTATGAAGGGAGATTTTAGAAACATTTAATTTTTTTTCTCCAGTCTAAACAGGCCTTAAGTTATTAAATTTGATTTAAAAAAAACCTGCATCTATATAACCCAGCATAAATCATGGATGTATTCTTTTCTAAAGAAATATAGTTAAAGCAAAGCAACCATCTGTCCCATTCAACCCCGAAGGGAATAGACGTGGTTGGTCCACATTTGAAAATGAGATTGTAAGGTTTTGTTTTTTCTTCTTTGTTAATATGTTTGCTTGTCTTTTATTGATTGCAAAGAGGGGAGAGGAAGAGAGAGATAGAAACATCAATGATGAGAGAGAATCATTGATTGGCTGCCTCCTGCACATCCCCTACTGGGAATTGAGCCCACAACCCAGGCATGTGCCCTGACAGGGGGAATCAAACTGTGACCTCCTGGTTCATGGGTCAGTGCTCAACCACTGAGCCACACTGGCTGGTCTGTAAGGGTTTTTTCTTTAAAAACAAAAGTAGCGTGATCATTTTAAAGAATTTGGAAAACAATATTAGGATGGTGCTAAATGTGAAAAAAAATCTCTTAAATCTATTTTTATTCTAGTCTTTCTACATGAGTAACAAAATTGGATTGTACTCTTTAACTTTTCAAAAAAAAATTACATTTTGAACATTTCCAAAATGCTATGTTTCAATTGTTTGCCTAAGCCCTGGCTGGAATGGTTTAGTGGTTAGAGTATTGGCCCTCACACCAAAGGGTCTCAGGTTCAGTTCCTGGACAAGAGGAGTGCAGGTTTGATTTCCAGTGAGTGTGGGAGGCAACCAATCGATGTGTCTCTCTCACATCCATGTTTCTCTCTGCCCCTTCCTCCCTCCCTTCTACTCCCTGTAAAAATTAATTGGGGGGGGGGCGGGGATCCTTGGGTAAGGATTAACAAAAAGAAAACAAAGATAAATGGTTGTCTAATCTAACATGAAATACTGTAGTTTAATTATGCTATTTTTAAGTTTTCTCTCTTTTCATGTCTAGAGGGAATTGCTAGACCAAAAGGGTGTGCATTTTTGAAAACTGGATACAAATTAGTTTTCTAGAAAAGTTCCATGAATTTCCTTTTTATTTTTCTTCACAGCTTAGCACAGTGTCTTGTTTATAAGGGTGAGGTTTTTAACATTATCCCCCCACAAATAGCAATTGTGTGAAAACAAAATGTTGTCTTGAGTTCGTTCTGAGAAGCAGAAGTGTCTCAGATCTTGCTCTGTGACCTTTCTACTCTCTTCTGCCCAGAACTGGACTTTGTTTCCTGAATTCCTGACCCTAAACTAGCAGTCCAGTGTTATCTGAATGCTCTGGGGAGAGTGACTGGGAGGGCTTGAATGGCCTCTTGGTGTCCAATCCTATCTCATTTTCTTCTGACCTGCTCTAACCAGTGTGGCACAGTTAGACCCCATTTTGAATTCTGGCCCTGCTGTCCGCTCTGTGACCTTCACACTGTCCCTCAACCTTCCCCAAACTCCATTTATGAATCTTTCAGCTGAGGGTAAAATGAGGCAGTGCCCTGTCAAGGTTAGCTCCTTGCTTGCTGTCATTGACCATAGCCAAAATGGAAATGAGATTAGGTACGGGGTAAGAGAGTCAAACTGATGAGGGCTAGGAAAGTGCACTAGGTGACACCAAGATCGGCCAGGTGCCTTTCTCAATGGAGGAGGGAGTTAAGGTTGTTTTTAAGTGAGAATTTGTTTTTATCTGATAGTGAGATTAAAAGTGGTGATAATGGGATTGGTGAAAAAGTGGCAGCTCTGGGGGCTTCCACCCAGGGGATCCTGGCTGAAGAGTTTGGGGAAATGATCCAGCAGAGGAAGGTGGTTCAGTGTTTCCTCAGGCCTAAACTGTAACTTGTCTTCTTCATTAAAGCCTGGTTATCTGGACAAAGGCAATTGCCAGGTTGCCAGAAATTGCTGATAAACTGAGGTTTTTCCAGCGCCTCTTCATACCTTCCCTGCCTTCTTTGGCCCTGATTTGAATTGTGTTGACATCTGGCTTTGGTGAAAAGATTCTGGTTTCCTGGAAGATTTGTCACAAGTCAGGACCTCCCTAGAAGGGGGACAAGATAGCTGGATATGCCAGGGAAATAGAGTTCCTGGCTGGAAGGCTCAGATCCAGCTAATGGACTTTGGGCCTATTGACCAGAAAAACCAGTCCATGCCATTCACCATTTCTAGGTGCTGTTAGGATCCAGTTCCATGTGGAATGCCTTTTGTGTTAAACCCAATTGGAGAACATATTTCTTTAAGAGATTTGTCAAATCTGAGTATTTAACTGCCAATTAAGAGTACTCGAATGCATATGCCATTTCTTTTTGACCTGTGACATCTTACAAATAAAGACTTTTTTTGTTGTTCATGCTAGGTATAGGCCAGGGGTGGGCAACCCCTGGCACGTGTGCCAAACATGGCATGCCAGTAACTTTTGCTGGCACGCGAAACCCTCTTATAATCTTCCATTTACAATTTTTTAAATTATATCGACTTTTTTATTTTTCAGATAAATTCAGTGTAGGTGCATCTTAGATAAATAAATAATTTTACATAACAAGTTATCTTAAAGACCATAGACATGGATTGACGAGAGAGGGGAAGAGCAATTTCTATGCCTCTGCCTTAACTCTCCCTGCCTTCCTAGATCCGACCAGTGTTTTGGTTTCATCCACATA